GTGAAATGTTCATGAGAGAAAGAGACAGAGAGTAAGAGATAGACAGAGAGATAGAGAGCCAGAGAGAGAGTGAGGGAGAGGACACTTGAAGTCACTTTGGATCCTTCCCAAGATCAGCTGTAGGGAGGAGGCCTGAGAAGAGGTGAGGGGTCAGCACAAGGAGTTGCATTTGGTAGAGGAAAGGAAACTCCAGGGGAGGACACTCCACATGCGCAGCAGTGGCTGGTGGTATCACAGAGAGAGTCACCTTCAAACATCTTTCACAGCCACATCACAGCTACTAAGGCTGATCGGCTCCTACTTGTCTCTCTCCCAATCCCCCAGCTCCTCACCAGGATAGGTCAGAAGATATCAATAAGGAATTAACAAAGGAAGTGTTGTGGAAAGTGAGGAGGAGATGGCAAAGTAAAAAGGGGGAAAAATGTCTTTTTACCATCTGCCCTTCCCAGATGTATGTTTCTGCAGAGATTATACTGGGATTAAAATTCAGTTTTTATTATTATACTGGACAGAATATGTTAATTACTGAGTTGAGATTATTTGAGAGATGATATTAACCAGAGGGCTATTTTTTTTTAATATGATTATCTTAAAGTGAACAGATAAGCTATCTGGGCTATCTGCCCAAATTTTATTGCATGAAAGGAAAACAATGCCTCCCCTCCCCCCAGATGTGGTTTGTAGAGGTAATTACAAGGAGGAAATATCTTTAGGATTGCAGCTCAGGGTCTTGTTTATTCAATGTAACAGCTATAAGAACACTGAAGGACTTCACTGCTTGGGGTCAAATAGGATTGGATTCTCATCCTCTAGTATTTGAGAATTACTAACAGCGTTAACTTAAATTCCTCATTAGCCTCTCTGGGTCTCAATTTTCCTTATCTGAAAAATGCAACCTATGAAGATTTAATGCATTTATGTATATAAAGTAACTAACAGATTGCTGACCACCTGGAGAATGCTCAGTATACATAAATTTCATAATCAAAACGACATTGAATTAATAGACGGGACAGCAAATTATGACTCTTGGGCCAAATCAAACTTACGTACTCTTTTTGTAGATTAAGTTTTATTGGATCATAGCAACACTCAATCTTTCTATATACTCTATAGTTGTTTTCATGTAATATGTTGACATTTCATGCATTGCAATGGCAGAGTTGAGTAGTTGTAGCAAAACCATATGGCGTACAAAGCCCAAACCACAGGGTATTCCCCAAAAATGTACAGACACTTTAACAGCTGATAGCTCAATTTGGAAAATGAACTTTATTTTAATAAACACTGTCTTTATAATTATTTGAAATTTTATATATATATATATGTATTATATATATATGTATTATATATATATATATATAAAACATTGTACTCTTACAATATGCCATTTATCATTGCTTTTGCAATCATTATTTCATTTAATTTTTACAAAAACTTCTTTGTATTAATCTCCTATTTTTAGGATTAATTTAAAAATAAATTTATTTCTCATACAAAGTACATAACTCTCTGCCTGAAGGTGGCAAAGAGCTCTACTCCACATAGTCACACAGGGTCCCAGGGTCTCACCATCTTTAGCTACATCTCTACTAGTATAAGTGCTTCCTCCTTTATCATCAGTGATGGAGGGTTGTTCATAGGTCCTTAATTTTTTTCTGAATTAACATGACACATATTACTTCTACTCATAATCCATTATCCAGAGCTAGTTTTATGGTTTCACCAAGCTGCAAAGTGTATTACATGAATATTTGGTGATCAATATGTCTTTGCCATATCCACGAGATAAAAAACATTTTATTAAAAATTTAGGGATATGGGGCATGAGAGAGACCAGGACACTTGTCCAAGCCTACAGAGCTACTAAATGGCAGAGCTGAATTAAAATCTAAGCTCTTGGATGTTCATAGAACAGAGTATCATTCCTATTTTCCCTAAATACTCTTTATTGCACCATATCTCCCCAACCAGTCCCTCTTATCAAGTTGGTTTTCAACATGATGATATTTAATATGATAGAGGTTCTCACTTGATAGGAGATGATCTTCTCATAGGATCTTTTCTGCTCCATTTGTCTACCTGATTCTACATCTAGTTGAGTTTGGTAATTTAATCTAGTTGAGTTGAATATATTTTTGTGTTCATTTATTAAGAAGCCCAGAGAGTATATCAAAGAAATGATTAAAAGATCCAGTTGAAAAATTCCCCAGGCATATCATTCAAAATTAGAGACACTTTTTCTCCCATACCATTATTCTTATCCAGAACTTGAAGTAGGTAGTTTTCAGACCTGCTGCTTTTTCCAAATTGTGATAAATAAGTGACATCCCTATTCATGAGAATCTGTTCTAATGTAGAAGCCCCACCTTTGCATGCACCTTTACCATGCAAGTCTCAGGGGAAACTAACTAAATTTAATAGCTTCTGTGAGTTCTAAACAAAGATGTACAATATGCAATGATGATCATCAAATTCAGGTGTTTATAAAAACCAAAACTTTTAGAAATTTAATTAATATTTATGAAGCTCCATTCTGGAACTATGGAAATACTTTGTCATTAGAGTGATATTTTCCCTACTTTTAGAATTTTAATAAGCAATTATTTATGCACTGTTATCTTTCTCCCAACCCCTTGAATAAGATACTGCTGTGGTGAACATATATTTCCCATAAGTCATCTTTCTTAACTCAAAACTGATTTTATTCTTTGCTTTGCTAAGCAACAACAGGATACTTAACCAACTATACAGGACATGAAAGAATGGAAATGTGGACCTAGTGGGAAATAGTTGCTTAAAAATAATTCACCAATCTTGCAGATGCACAAGCCTAAAGTATTTTTAAGTTATTTATTTATTTATTTATTTAATAATTATAGAATGTGAACTTCCAGAAGAGGAAATACCGTGGCATTTAAATATGAATGGGCATAAAATGATCTCAAACCACACTAAGCAGATCAAGGCAAGCTGACTCTCCAATGATACTCCATTTTTCATTGGCCGTGTTGGCTAAGATAAAACTTATAGAACACTGTATTTTGACACTTTTTTTGGAAATAGACACTCTCACATATTGCTTGTGAAAATATAAATTTGATGGGTAATTGCAGCTACTAGTTAAATTATTGATCCATGTATCTATTGACCAGAAATTAAACTGTTAGGATTCATTTAATAAATGTGTTCAAAGATTTTACATATATATATATATATTCATGTTAGTATTGCTTGCAATGGTAAAAAAAAAAACAACAGGAAATAAATTCAAATATCTATTTATTGGGACTGGTTAGGTAAATTATAGATATTGTACAATTGTGAAAAGTTATAGGTACTAATACAGAAAGACAAGTAAGATGTAAGGTTAAATGCCACAGAAAGGACCAGAATAGCATGTCTTGCAAGCCTACCCTGTGTCAAATACTTAAATAAAAAATAAAGATATTCAGATCATTTCAGAAACTGGAAAAAAAATGTTTTGGGAAAAATAGTCAGCTTGAGGGAAAGGTAGAAGGGAATCATTTTCTAAATGATTAAGAAAACAAATAACTTAGAAACTGCTGTTGAACTGTAATGTTAGAATTACAGACAAAATTATTAAATTATTACCTTTTCGAAGAAACAATTATTGATATGAGACTTTGAAATTTATACTCCATACAAATAGATTTTATATTATTTCAAGCAAGTCTATTATAATAATGAGTCTAAATAATTGTAAAATGTGGTTCTTGCTATCTTCTATTCCTATCCCAGTCTTTTATAAGGATTCTAATATTTAATTTTGGATAATGATGCTTCTCCTGAAATTAATCTTGGGCCTTTAATTATTCAAGTATCCAGCGTTGCTGAAATCATCCTAATTATTCCCATTGCTCAATAGTATTAGTAAAAATTACATTTAAATTCAAAATAATTTAGATGAGTTCTTAATATTCCCACAAGCATTTAGCTATTTTTATAGTTTCACCTCTTGAGTTAAAAAAAAAATAAAAAAGATTGAATGTAGCCAATATCATTGTTTTAATTTAAATGATTCTGTGTTTTTATCTCTAATGCAATACCATAGAAGGTAGATTAAAATTAGCTTCCTCTCTCTTTTTTGATTTGTAAATCCCACCTCTCATATTACCTCCTCATTTACACTTTTAAAAATTTTATGATGCTCATATTCTTTTATTATCTGTTAGATTATTCAGCAGACAAGAGTTTATGTACATTTTCTAGTGCAGTGCCCTTGAGAAATGAAGATTATTGTTCATCCCAAATAAATAAATACCATGTAAGTTTGTAATGGTAGATTATAAACAACATGAACTTCCATCTAACATAATCTCTTGTCTGCTAGATTATGCTATTTTTCAAAATAGATTTTACACAAACACATATATACAAAATAATATTATGTATATATTTTTTGAAAATAACATGTGGCATTTAGAAAACTAAAAACAAAAAAAACATTATAGTGTCTATTAAATTATTTAAAAAATAATTTCAAGACTACGATTCTTGTATTTAACCTTTATTTGAGTGGAGACAAGGAACCAAGCTGGCCTGAAAAATAAGAAATAAAAATAGGAACAATAAATACATTCCTTTCATGAGTGAGTCTTGAAATTTGGATTTGGGTTAGATAAATTAAATTACTTTGTCTTGAGCTCCCTCTCCCCGACCACAGCAATCTTATTCACCAGAGTCTGTTTTTTACAGCTGTATATATGATTTGCAATGGTGGCATTCAGAGACTGTGTACCATTTCATCCCTTTATGCCATAAAGGAATAAGGCACAGAAGGAAAAAAATGTCTAGCTTAAATATGAATCTTCACTGAAATTTCTGTTTGTGGCTATTCTAAAAATCTTTACCATAAATTTTCTGGGCTAAGCAAGCTTTTAAAAAAAAAATCTTTATTAAAGTTCCCCTTAGTTAGAAAATAAATTATTTTCTGTGACCTTTGGAAAGTAATGTCAATGCTTTATTTTTCTTGATAGAGATGCAAAGCAGAAATCAAGAAGTGCAAAATTCAATCATTAATCAACCTTAGATAAAGGTGAGTGTATTTGCACTATGCCCCCAAAGAGCTCTTGATGGCTGGGACATTGTTCCCATAATACAATGCCTCCATAAATTTTGTTAACTAAACTGTCAATTCTGAGCCAGAGCTACAAGGAATTTTAAGGAAAGATTGTGTAGTATAACAAACACAGATACTGGCGGTAATTTTGAAGTGGGAGGGAAGCCAGTGGTGATAACGTATAGATTCCCCACTCCATGTTTTATTCGAATATGGCAAGATTACATCTACAGTAAGCCTATCCTTTCAGGCAGATGGGAACATTGTCTCACATCAAACACTCCCAAAGGTCAAAGCATCAAAACTAAAGTTTAAATTTTCTTTTGTCCTTCAGAATCGGGGACAACTCAACCACCTCTATCACTTTTTCTTTTTTCCCACAGGATCACCTTTCTCCAAGGAACTTGTAATGACCCTAAGAACTTGTAAGCGTGGCTGTGTAAATGGACTTGCTTGTGACAAGGGAACAATTTCTGACATCTTGAAAGTCTGGTCTCTTTTAAATCACATGGGCCCTAAGATAAACTAGAAAGACAATACTACTGGTCACATTAACATGACGCCTATTTTTTTAAATTGGTGAGTATAATTGTGGATATTTGTATCTCATTGAGTGAAGTTTCCTTAACAGAAAAGAACATGATTCATTGCCTTTCTAGGTGAAGGTGCTCAGGGTAATTCAAGAATTTCTGTATAGGACATGGTTATGGAAGAGGGCTAGGGGATACAGTTGGAAGTTGTGTTTCATAATGAACACATGATATTATTTTGATTGTATTCTCACATATGGAATGAGCTAAGAAAAAATGTGGAGAGCTCCATAAGCCTCTGGCCATTCTCTTCCCAAGTTGCTGCTGGCTCCAACCACAGACTAAAATTCTAAAATTCTAAAATTCTGTATAATAAAACAACAACCACAACAAACAAACAAACAAAACACTACCCAACTAGGGTACAAGGATTGTAAAAACTGCCATTTCTGGCTACAGGCCTAGACCACATAACACACCAAGCACTGGCAGTAAATCTCCTAACCCCTTTCTTCTGAGAAGTATTTGCAACCAGCAAGGTTTTTTGCAAGCACTTTGCCAGGTTTCAGAGTGCAATGACAAATTTCCAATGTGGGTCAAAATTCAGATGAGTAACTAATTTCATGAACAACCGCCACATATTGCAATTCATCACATTTATATTGGCCAGTGCAACCATTTTAATTTTACAGAGAGAGAGAGAGGGAACTCAAAATGCCTAACTTAATTCAAGTTATAAATGTGGAAAAAGAGACAAATTTTCTCAAAGAAACTCTCAGATTATCCTGAGGACTCAAGAATTTTTTTACTCTCATCACTCATTTGAGATAGGTTCAAGTTTATTTTTAATCTTAGGTCTAGATCTCTGGGGACACACTCTGAGCTGGATATTTGCACAGAGATAGTTTCTTAAGGAGTGTTCTTTGGACAGTGCTTGTGAGGGGGTGAGGACAGCAGGGTGATGAGAAGAGAAATGTGATGCCTTTGAGTCAGTCCCACAGACAGCTCAAGAGGGAATAGCCGTGGAGAGTCTTAAATTGAAGCAAAAAGGTATCAAGGTTCCCCTCTTGCATGGGCAAGTCATTGGATGTGGTGGCCCAGGAAGGGAAAGGAACTTGAACCAGGCACTTTACTTTGCTCTCGGCCAATTCCTGTCCAGGAACTCAGCTGTAAGTCCTTGCAAGGTGACACAGCCAGAGAACAAGCGACAGTGTCAATCTGAAGGCCCATCTTCATTTCCCCCATATAAATCTAAAGTCATTCAACTTTTGATAATGAGAACCCATCGATCACTATTTTTAATATCTGCCATGCATTAACGTGTATATAGGGTTAATATTATGAATATTATTAACGCTATGAACATAACACATCTTGAATATTTGTGAAAGTTTTCATGTGTTTATTATTGACAGAATGGACTGTTCACCGCCATTGATTTCTTACTAGAGATCTTTAAAACATAGAATTTTGCCACAATACACAGTTGCAAATATTATTTGTGTCACTGCAACTGTCACAGATGAAAAATAAATAAATAAAAAGGACTTGCCTTTTGTAGTCCTACTTTTCAATCAATGTTTGCTTAGGGCTGGGATGAAAGGGTTTCCTCGAACAAGCCGCAAGCTTTTGTGCTGACATCAATTGTCTATTTGCAACTGTGTGTTATGCTAAGTCTACACCATCTCTCAGCTGGACACTTACAATAGCTTGCCAGCAGGCCCTCAGCACCCTGTGTTTCTCTCTTGAATGGCATTTCCTACACAGGAGCCTGTGGAAATCCGGTTAAAGTGTAAATAAGACCAGCAAATTCCCCTGCTTTAAAACACTTCCATGGCTCCCCATTGCACTCTGAATATATTCTGAAGTCCTTACCATGGCCTAAAAAAAGCTTCATTATCTGCATCCTACTTCTCTCCAATTCCCTCCTGACATCAACCACTGAGCTACTAACATCAAGGAACATGGACCTCTGTTCTGTATGTAGAAAAGAGCAAACTCTTCTGGCTCCAAGTGTTTGCATTCTGTTATCTATACTCAGTACAGTCTTCCCTGTGAGTCTTGGCAGTTCATGTCTTCTCATTATTTAGCTGGACTTTCCGAAACACCTAGTATTGCCCTACCTTCCTTCCTGGGCTTCTGCTGCCTCTCCATGTACCTGCCCACACCTTCCCCAACCTGACCAACGGTTCTCCATAACGCTCTCTACAGTTTTCTTGTTTATTAATTTAATAACATGTTTATTTGATCACTTCCATAAGAAGGCAAACTGTGTGTTTTGTTCCTTCCAATTTTAATAACCTGTAAGGTCTATTCAAAATATTTAATAGACATAACACATAGAAGAAAAGTATATAAGATGAAATTTGAGAGTTAGCCAAGGACTAGACTAGAAGTGTGTTAGGACATGTAAAATTCTGGAGAACTAGAAGCTATTGTTAGAATTTTAGGAGTAAGTTCTTGCAGTAAAGAAATATTTTTGATTCAATTACCTTGTTCATAATATATGCATTTCTTAAAAAGATTTTTTATTGATTTTTAGAAGGAAAGGGAAATGGATAAGGAGCGGGGGCGGGGGGGGTGGGGTGAAACATCAATGTGAGAGCAAAAGACAGATCGGCTACTTCCTACACACCCCTACTAGGGATCAAGCCCCCAACCAGGGCATGTATCCTGAACAGGAATCCAAATGGCAACCTCTTGGTGCATGGGGCAATGCCCAATCAACTGAGTCACACAGGCCAGAGCCATACATATGCATTTTATTGTATTCATATATTTACTTAAATGGTGATTATTTAATTGCCTATCTTCTTATTGCTGATAAACACTAATATAACCTAGGTTTTTAAAACATTTATGTTGGGCCAATCCTTACAAGAACTTCTTTATATGTTGTAATATATTTTTAAAATATTTATATTAAAAATGTACCTGATTCCAGAAGGAATCATCATATGATTATACTATTTAAAATGGCACCCCTCCCAAGCTCTCCCTAAATCATTACCCTTTTTAATTTTCTTCATGGTGGTTATTCTAGTCATATCTATGTATTTATTTATTTACATGCTAGTTCCATGACTATATCAGGGGACAAGGCTGTCTTATAGTCTCCTTTATCTCTGTTCTTAGAATAAGACTTGGCAAATAGGATGTGCTCCACAAATATTTGTCAAAATAATAAATGAATGAATGAATCTGTTAATCTAAGAAGTTCACATATATGGAAGTTGCTACTTCCCAATGAAGCTGAATAAATGAGATCTCATAGTCACTACAGTCCTTTCACTCTGAAAAGGTCATAGAATTAATCTTTTCTTTAATTCTCTGTACTTACGTATGCAGAATGACTGCCTAATCCAAGGGGTTCATCACTTCCTGGCAAGTGATAAAACCCTTTTTCAATTTGTTCTATGGCCACGTTAATAGTGAACAGTTAATTGTTAATTGATTATAGTTGCATTGATATTTATTATTTGCTAAATTTCTTCCTGTAGTTATCTAGTTATCACACTTAACTGAGTTTTATTTTTAATTAAATTGTATTTACTCTTTTAAAGAAAAAGAGAAATAGAGAGAGAGAGGGGGAGAGAGAGAGAGAGATTTTGTCTTTTTATTCACTATTCTATTGCTAGTGCCTAGAATACTCATAATACCTAGTACACATGAGGGAGTCACTCAATAAATATTTATTAAATTAATAAATCACCATAATTTGCACAGCCAAAGTGAATAAAGGGTCTTCTCTGAGGGAGATATTCATTTAGGTACCTATTTTCAGTTATATTTAACTTTAACGTGGATTCTTATCCATATTCTTTTACCAAGCACTCAGGGAAAAAGGAGCATTAGATTAGGTGCCAAGATCATCATGTTTCTTGTTCAGGACCTTGTGTGACTGTATGCAAGTCCTCTAAGTTACCTGGGATTCAGGTTCCTGAATTACCAAACAAATAAAAGCAGATATTTGATTCTTTAAGGTTCCCTTTTAAAACTAAAATCGTATATTTTCTTCAAATCCCAACACTACAGTCTATTTCAGTATGCATGTTTTTAGAGTTAACTCGTAGCACAGTATACATTTTTATCTCTTTTCAAGTATTGCCAATGAAAAAGTCTCTCAGTTACTCAAAACCTTCTCTTTAATTCCCCTTTCTTACTTGTTTACAGTCAGGTATATGGCATCACTTTTATTGCATAACTAAGGGATACTAAATAATATGACCTAAAATTATTAATTCTAAAGATTAGTAACAGGTGACTTGACTTACAACTGATGAGCCTTTTACATTTGGATGCTGCTGAACAAAGCAAGATTCAGGTAAAACTACCAAGCCAGGTTCTGTTCCACATTGAAGAGTTCACTCCCAACAAATGCTTTAAAGGCTGATGCTACATTATATTGTGTTGAGTAATATAATTTCTATCTAATTTTAGAAGGGAATTTTGAGGTGATTAATACTTTTTATTAGCCAGTTTTTATTAGTATGGATTGTTTACATTACTTAGCAACATTTTATTCAATATAGAATTACCAACATCTTTGCAAGTGAGATGGAGTATGCTATACATGACAGTAGTTAAGTTATTCAAACCTCCATTAAAAGAGTTGTCAGTAAAAACTTATATTTCTTATTGTCATTTATCTAAGAAAAAATCTAATGAAAGAACCAGTAAATAAAATAAGGATGGTTTTCTTCTACATCTCAAATAAAAAAGAAATAACTAAGGTTTTAATTTTTCTAAATCTTTCTGACATAATCTATAAGTTTGGTATAAAAATCATATTAACTACATTATCTACTGCAGGGGCAGAGTGAGGTCAAACAGTCATGTGACCTTTTTCTGTGAAGCTTTTTTTTTTTAAATTTTATTTATTTTTTCAGTTATTTTATTTTAAGAAAAACGATTTTAAATATAATAATGTTACATGCAATAAACTTTAATATTTTAAGAAAAATGATCTTAAATATAATAGTTACATGAAATAAACATTAATATCTCAAGAAAAACAATTTTAAATATGATAATGTTACATGCAATAAACACCAATTATTCAAGAAAACTGATCTTACATATGGTAATATTACATGTAATAAACATTAATATTTCAAGAATAAAATAACTTTTAAGTATAATAATATTACCAAAACTGTACTAACATAGTATGATATCACAAAAGTTGTAGGAAATATTAAAAATCTGCAAATAACAGGATTACTTCTATTATATTCTAGTATTTTTTCCCTCTGGCTCTATTTTTGTTCATCAATTTATGTTGTTCATTATATTCCACAAGTGAGTGAGATCGTATGATATATATCTTTCTCCAACTGGGTTATGTCACTTAGCATGATGCTTTTAAAGTCTATTTTGTCGGATACGACTCCTTCTTATTTTTTTCTTTTTCATTTGCATGGAAAATTTTTTTCCATCCCTTCACTTTCATCCTGTGTGTGTCTTTTGTTTTGAGTTGTATCTCTTGTAGACAGCGTATAGTTGGGTCAGGTTTTTGTATCCATTCAGCTACCCTACACCTTATGATTGGAGCATTTAATCCATTTACATTTAGGGTTATTATTGAGAGGTACTTATTTATAGCCATTTTAATTCTGTACTGCTAGGTTTCTTCTCTGTTTCCTTCTTCTCAGCAATCCCTTACAGCAATACCTTTACCATTTCTTATAATGCTGGCTTGGTGGTAATGAACTCCTTTAGCCTTTATTGTCTGAGAAGCTCTTTATTTGACCATCTGTTTTGAATGATAGCCTTGCTGGATGTAGTAATCTTGGTCTCATATCCTTGCTTTCCATTACCTTGAGTACTTTATGCCATTCCCTTCTGACCTGTAGAGTTTCTGATGAGAAATCAAGTGTCAGCCTTATGGGAAATCTTTTATAGGTAACAGTTTTCTTTTCTCTTGCTGCCTTTAAGATTCTCTCTTTGTTTTTAATTTTTGGCATTTTAATTATGATGTGTCTGGGCATGGGTCTGTTTGGATTCTTCTTGTTTGGGGTTCTCTGTGCCTCCTGAACTTGTGTGAATTTTTCCTTTACCAGGTTAGGGAAGTTTTCTACCATTATTTCTTCAAACACCTCCCCAATGCCTTTCTCCCTTTCTGCCTCTTTGGCACACATACTATTCTAATATTGTTACATTTCACATTGTTCCACAGCTCCCTTAGGCTGTCCTCATGTTTAATTGTTTTTTCTTTTTGGTTCTCTAATTGAGTGATATTTTCACCTCTGTCTTCTAATTTACTGATTCAATCCTCAGCTTCCCCTAATTTGCTGTGTATTCCTTCCATGTGTTCTTTATTTGTGTTATGTCATTTTTTATCTCAGACTGTTCTTTTTTCATAGCTATTATATCTTTTTTCATAATGTTGAACATTTTTAACATCATTACTCTGAACTCTGTTTCAGGTAAATTTCTTATCTCTGCTTCCTTTATCTCTTCTTCTGGAGAATTTTCTAGTTCTTTCACTTGGAGGTTGTTTCTTTGTTTCCTCATTTTGGTTGTCTGTCTGGGTGTGTGACTATGTTGTAGATAGATCCTCTATACCTCTCAATCTCTAGTGCAGGACAGTGTTAAAGGCTGTTTCTGACTAATTAGATCAGGCAAAGACTCAAAGCCTCCAGAGACTGCCTCTGTCTACAG